GTAGCTCTTGCAAACTCAAGCCTGTGGGTTCCTGTAGAAAGGCAAGTCATCTCGTATTGGTTCTTTCTGTCTCCTGCCTTCAGCCTTTCCCAAAATCATTGTCTTCCCCAGATAATCTTTCCTTCTCATGTGCCCAAGGTAGGACAGTCTCAGTTTCATCATTGTTGTCGCTAGAGATACTTTGGGCTTGATTGATCCAGGACCCACTTGTTCATCTTTCTGGCAGTCCAGTCTCCTCCAGCACCATATTTGAAATGTATCTTTTTTTTTTAATCTGCTCCTCCAGCACCATATTTGAAATGTATCTCTTTTTTTATCTGCCAGCTTTCTTTACCGTCCAGCTTTCACACCCATGGTGATCGGGTTTCTTTACTGTCCAGCTTTCATACCCATGGTGATTGGGAATACAAGACTGAATGATTTTGGTCTTGGTCTCCAGTGATACACCCTTACACATCTTTTCTAATTCCTTCATTCCTGCCCTCCTGAGTCCAAATCATCTTCTGATTTCTTGGCTGTTGTCTCTGTCACAGAACCCACTGGCCAAACTCCTCACTATAGCCATGCTGCCTCCCACTTTCTTGGAGTGGAAGTGCCTAGAGAAAGCAGCCATGGGGAAGACTAGGAGCCCTGGCTGGGATTCTTCCACCCTCAACATGCCTTAAGTCTGTGAGGCAGTAAGTGCTCCAGGGCTTCAATACATAAAATATCAATAGATTGTCACAAAAATCAATATTAACAATCTCAGTAGCTTGGACAAGGCTAAAGACTAGAACGTTCGCACCACACCTCTCTTCTCAGTCACCTTCCAGACACTGACTTGAAGATTTGTATAGTTTATTTTTTAAAAGGGGGGAAATAATGTGGGAAAGACAAAAAAAAAGTTCCATATGCAAAAGCAAATGTGGTTATAGGAATATTGCATTCAAAAGCCAGAAACACACCAAAAAAAATAATAAAGACTAATTTACCTATCTATTCCACTCAATGGAGTAAATCTGGGGAAATACTGCATGTGTTCCGTGGCACAACTTCATACATGGCAGGCAGAGGCTCCTTCATGAGTAACACTGCAGCCAGGAAGCAAAGCCCACTCTCCCGAAAGCTATACTAAGCTTCAAAAGACTCATTCCCAATTCCTTTTTATACACATTAATGGCCCATTAACATCTGAGGTTGACAATAACATAATTGCTCTTAATCCTCTTTGATCATTCTTATCTTCGTCCTTCCCAGATTTGAAATCTGCATACACTCATACAAGGAAGCACACCAGTTTCTAACATAATTGCTCTTAATCCTCTTTGATCTTTCTTATCTTCATCCTTCCCAGATTTGAAATCTGCATACGCTCATACAAGCACACCAGTTTTCTAATTCACAGATATAAACTATCAGTCACTACTTTGATATACAAAGATAAACTTTGAACTAGTCAGCTCTGCTTTGAAATCCTCTTAATTTCAGTCCATCTTTGAAGTGACCATGGACAGGACATGCAGAAACAGAATATAGGTATAAGCTATCTCTAGGTGTGAATGTTCATATTCCCTTGTCCTCAAAGGTACACAGAAATGTCCAGAAGATGAAATTCATTCTTCATGTTCCCCCAAGTCCTTAATTTCTTCACCTGCCCCTTCCTTTGGAAGAACTGATTTAACTGATACAATTATGGTTAGTGTGACGGCCTTCCTCACTACTCACAAAGGGAGGTCATCACGTCACTTTAAAATCCTTCACTCTTCTTTACTGCCACCAACCATTCCTTAATGAATAAATCATACAGCAGGCCAGTATAACTTTTAAAAATAAAAACTTGGTTTATTGAATACAAAAAGAAAGGAATGGTAAATCACTGTTAAAGAAATAATCAATTACTGTTTCTCAGGCACTAGCTCTCACAGACTCTTTCACACTGACACTAAGCTTACTTTAACTCGCAGCTCAGACACTCATCTATCTGCTATCTCCTCTCTCCTATCTCCTATCTGATCCACTCACACCTCACACATACCCTATATATCACAGCTCCTCCCGCCTCTGCACCACCCTCCGCCCTCTCATTGGCTGAGATTTTCCCTCCCAGCTGTGACGGACAGGTAATGCTATGGCTGACCGTAACAGTTAGTAACATACAAAATACAGTGGGGTCTTGACTTGAGAACTTAATCCGTATTGGAAGGCGGTTCTCAAGTCAAAAAGTCTGTAGGTCAAGTCTCCATTGACCTACAGTGCATTGAAAACCGATTAATCCCGTAACAGGCCGTTTTTGTTCCATTTTGTTTTTTTTCTGGTCTGTAAGTCAATTCTCAGGCTGCAAGTCAAACCTAAATTTTGCGGCCAGAGAAGTCTGTAACTCAAAAAGTCTGTAAGTCAAGCCGTCTGTAAGTCAAGGGTCCACTGTAACACATTTCAGGCATTGTAATACATTATGACTAAACATTTACAGCTTCCGACTACTACGTTAATCAAAAATTTGTAAACAGAATAACAATGTGAAAGGCACATATTAGTCTAAGAAAAGAATATAAGCACCTTGAAAATGTTTTGCTAAATACATTATAATCTACACATCTAAATATTTCCATTACCGGATCATCATTTTTCTGTCAGGGATTCCTTCCCTGTACTTTCAGATAACACATAGAGGAATCACCTCCTCTTGTGACACATATGGTTTTAAACTATTAGAATGATACACTTTAGGTTTGAGACATCCTAGAAATGTGACTACTGCATGGACTATAACTCTCAGAA